AATCAGAGCCCATCGCCTATTTCTGAGTGTGGGGCTTCATAAAAGCAGGAAATGATCAGCGTGTTTGTCAGAGAAGGGACAGAGCGATGTGGAATAAAGGTAAATTATGTGAAAAATAATGCGTTTTTTTAAAAAAACGAAGATACTGTTCCTCGCGCCCCCCTGCTCTGCACACGTTCTGCATCTCTCTCTCTCTCTCTCTCAATCTCTCATTCAGATCACCAGCTCAACTCCAACAATGAACTGTTCCAATTATACACTTATTTTCACATAGCTATGAGAAGCGTTAAACATGGATGCGTGTGCAGTTGCCGTACTGTATTAAAGCTTTAATCAGGATAAAACCGTATATTAAAAGCTAACATAAGCAGTAGCATTTACAAATAACAGCATATCTAAAAGTATGAAATCAAGCCTAGAAAAAAAACAGTGAACCACCCCTTTAAACATAATGATAAACTAATAAATAAAAGTAAGTATAAGTAAATAAAAATTAAATTTAGCATTGAGATTTTTTCTTCAGAATCTAAATTTTAGGTTAAAAATTTAGGGGAAGTGTGTATTTTAAATGCTGTAACTGGTCACCATTTCTTTCACCATTGTAAATCAACATTATTTTAATATGTTAAAATACCTTCTGCTACAAAAATGTAACATGCAAGAGAAATGTACGCCATTAATAGTTGGATTTGAAAATTAACAGCCTGTTTGAAAAATATTTTCATTATTTTTGCAATTAAATTTTGTGTTGCTAGTGGCACAGAAATCAAACACTTTATCTTTAAATAAACCTGTGGTCTGACAAATCACTTCTAATACCATAAAAACGGCAAAAACAGGCCTAATACTTATAAAAGAATTCAAACAAAAAGAGTTTTAGATAGAATGTAGATGGAATGCCACTTGCAAAAACTAACTATTTGACATTATCTGTCAAATTTCTGTTTCCAAAATGAACTACAACTGTATTAAAGAACATACATGCTTTCGATGCACAAGAAAACAGAATGCAAAATGTAGTTTATGAAAATACTCACCTCTTCATAGTCCCTGGACATTATTGGTCCGAATTCCGTCTTTGAAGGAGTGCTCCATTTTGCTTGCTTATTCAAAAAATGTGCAGTACAACCTGAGAATGCTTAACTGCAGATGTGTCTTAAGAAAAAGTGTGACTAATATCAGGCCATTATAGTCTGAGACTATGAGCAATGCAGTCTGTTCTGTTTCTGTTCAACAAAATATTGTGAATTACGTCTAAATCAAAAGTCAAGGCCTATTGCAGTTTATCCTCATTATACAAAACCAGCTTTCAGTCTTCGGTAGTCCAGGATTTCTATGCAAAGAGAAACACACATGCAAATGTATTTATTTATATGAAAAAGCCATATATGATTTGCAGATTGAAAAGCAAGAACAAGCCACCTATGATGAGACAAGCTCTGCATGCAGAATCTGCACCCACACTTGAGTTGACATTGGTCCTCATTACATCACAGGACGTTTAAAGCCCCTGCAATTCATGCTTTATACTCAGAATAAAGCAACAGAAATTATGCATCGAAGCATCTGTATAAAAAAGCATGCATACGTGCAAAAAAAAAAAAATACAGAAAAATATGCACAGCTAAGGATGAGGCAGCTCACAGGCGTCATGGCAACAGGGATGTGATGATGGCTGAATTTTAATGACACCCAACCTAAGACTTCATGCCTGCATTTATTCTCATTTCCAATAGAAATATATTTTTTTCCCCAAGCGTTTCTCTTAGGCTTAACAATATATATAAAATTTCGTTTAAAACATAATCTCACTGTTAAACTACTATACAATCAATATAAAAATATCCATATAGGGCTGTGGAATCATAACTAGCTCAGTTTCACACATCTGCTTATATTAGAATTGTGGCAGGTAATTAAACTGGATGCAGTTTAGAATAAATCCATCAACTATGGTTGCCACCTACACTCGTGATATAATTACACAACCATCCAGTATACAACATTGACTATTACTGTGACATTTCAAAGAAATAAAATGAGAACAATGTGAGCCAACAAGAAAACAATTAATTCGAGTAATAAAATAAAAATTCTGCATTCATTTCTATCAGCAAACTCACCTCTATCAACTCGCTCTCAATGCGTCTAAATGGTAGCCAGGTGCTCATGGGAGATTTCACCCCACAGAACATTAAAGTCAATGCAGCGGGATGTTGTGCATTGGCGCAAAATAATCCCTAAATGAGGGATTTTTCGGCGTGCGAAGGCAACCCGCGCTCTGACGGAATGGTGTTGTGGATCACATGACTGCCAACCCCATCTATATAGTACAACAAATGCGGTTTACAGGCAAACTGCACTGATATAAATCACCAGTCTTCACTTTTATTTTGCCAAACGTATTAAGATGCAGGAAACTGAATAATACAAAGGTTCACAGAGAAAAGAAAGACTGTACTATTAAAGCAAGTTACTAAAATAATACATGATTCAAAACGTTCAAGTTGTTTTGATCATTTTTACCTGCATTTCTCTCTTCGCCATTGTTTTGTCATCCATTAAACAAAAAAAAACAAAACAAAAAAAATCCTTGATACGTGGTTGCTTAAAAACATAGCTGCATATGGACCCTGTTCATCACAAAGATTTGTATCGTTTTACACAAAAAGGTGGGTACAGGTTTTGCGATTGAGTCACTTTCCCACAAATGACAAGATTTTTTCCATCTGTTTCCTAAAATGCTGAAATCACTTTATTAAGGCGTTGTGTAAACTAACAACAACGATAGCCTAAGTATAATAACAGTTAATTTTCATTTGATTTAAGAGCAAGTTCACACTCAAAACACCGATTCGATTTCGTTCAGTCAAATGGGCGTATCGGTTCAGCAGCCCAACCAATGAAATGCTCCTTCACAGCCCGTGCTCGATGGCTATTGGCTTGTACTATGGTCAGTATTTGAAGTCACGTACTTCAAGGGAAGTGAGCAAATTCAGTGTGCATACTGTGCAAATGAACTACTTGACCAGCTCTGAGACAAGCGTCCTACAAATACAGATTCTGTAAAATGATCTTTTGTCATATAATGCATAAAATGTCCCTACAACACAAACAACGAAATAGGTGTTCTGAGGTGTTTAGGTTTTGTTGCAGACAGTAAACAACACAAAATTGTTATGGGAGCGGCCAGCATTTTTTTGGTTGATGAATCAGAAAACCTAGCAATGCCCTCTTGTCTATAAATAATTGAATTAGCCTATATTTTAATTAATTATTTAACCTGGATTGCTGATATTGCTGGTGTGTATACCCAGCCTTGATTAATAAGAAAATTATTTATTTGAAAGTGTATCGATTATTACTGCGCTCTTTTGTAGCACAGCACAGACGTAGGCTACCTCAAAGGTCACGGTAAGTCTGAACGTATTGTTATCACTACGAATTTATAGAAAGGGACTTTTAGTTTTGAAACTCATCTGTTGTGCTTCATAACCTTTTCTATGTTATTTACTGTTTCTGTCAGGACCACTATCGTCAAAGATGATTGACAATTAGCATACAGTTTGGATTGGCGGTATGAGTCTGTTCTGGGCAAGAACTCCCTGCGCCTCCATGCAGCCTAGCATGGATGAGAGCAGGGAGAGCAGCAATAACCCCCCAGGGTAAACAGAACAGAACCAACATAAATGTATTGCAGATATTGTTAAGTTCAATCATTTTATGTACACATTTTAGAATTAGTCTGATTCAAGGAGAATCAGAAGGCTGAATCCCGACTGACAGAGGAGGAGCTGGGGATGGAGGAGGGTAATTAGCTATTGAGCTATGCGAAAACTGCTGATAATACTGAGGGACCTTATATATGAATGCTTAGATATGTGTCGTATTCCTATAAGTAGATGGGGATCAGCTGAGAGTCAGCTGATGCGAGCTTGACTAACGTGACCTGCCAGAACTAACGCTACGCTTGATTTTTGTACTGATCAATTGTACTGATGATTGTATGTTTTCTGTTAGTGAAAAGGAGTTTCACCAGCACTTTTTCCAGACAGACTGCAGCAAGACTCAGGAGAGATACTTCACTTTCATCTCTGGAAAGGCAAAGAGAACAATACCATATTGAAAAGATACTCTCTGCCATTCCTAGTGTGTATGGTTTACTTTAGTTAATAGACAAAAATTAAGTATACAATATTCTTTAGCTTGCCATGAAATTGCCGTGATTTAAAAAAAATGTATTGTGGAGTACTGCATGTACTGTGGTATATGAATACAGCAATCATTCAGTACCATGGTGATTCAAAGTACACATAGCTTTAGACAGCCATGTGTCACATTGACCAAGACTGTTGAATACTTTGTGAAACTCGTTGCTAATGATGCGATAATCACATATATTTTTTTCAGCATCAGTTAGTCTTCCTTTATTTGTGCTTTGCTTTACTTCACTGCTTCAATTCAATAAGCAAACACCCAAAACCAACAGTGACTAGAGAACGTAAAGATTTAGATGCACTATAGATGCGCTAAAGCATCTGTTATTTTTAATGACCAGGTTTATCCTAAGAAACACAAAAATAATTCAATTCAACATTTTTACACCACTGCATGAAAAGGGTTACACTTTACAATAAGGTTAAATTTGTTAACATTAATTAAAAACATAACCTAACAATAAAAATATTTTTAGAGCAATTATTAATCCTAGTGAATGTTAATTTCAACATATACATACTACTAAACTACTTGTCTAATAAACTTGGGATTGTGTATAATGACTATTGTTGAGTCTTTTACGAACAGCTTCCTTCTTTGTAAGTCACTTTGGATAAAAGCGTCTGTAAATTATTAAAATCAAACATATCTCTTATATTTATTTTTATTTTTTTAATGAACCTGAGCTGGCACGAGCTAGCAATGAACAGTGATATTTTAGTTACCTAACGTTAACAAACAAAGATTAAAGAATACTAATAAATGTATTGCTCATTGTTAGTTAATGCATAAACACAAACTAATGGCACCTTATTGTAAAGTGTTACCCATGAAAGTATTGCAAATGAGTGCTGAATCAGGATCCCTGTCAAATCAGAACAAGCCTTTCGTTTATTTTTTTTTCACTTTTGTCACGTTTTATCCGTGTTTTGAGATTTATGTACAATCCTTTGTCTCTTATCACAGTGCAGTCAGGTACAGGACTCTTGAAAGATGTGAATGACACTGTCATAAGCAGGTGGTGGAGTCTGTCTGGGTAGGAAACCTCTTAGACTGCCCTTCCCCAGCCAGAAGGACTCTGCTGGTTCTGCACTAAATGGATCTGTGATGTTAGGAAGTAATGCAGCTTGGTTATCCTCTGTTTCATCACTGTTCTTCTTAGTCTTCTTTGGTGGCGGCCGAAAAGTGGAGTTCTGAAAGCTAGGGCTTCTACCCAGCAGCTCATTGGGGTCTACAGAGGTCTGTCTGTGGAGGGACAAAACCGCTCTTCCAGCAGATTCACTGTTCTTGTCGAAGCCGTGACTCTTGTAGTGTCTGAGGTGGCAGTGCTGATTACGTGAGCCTTTAGATTCTGGCGACGGGGTTTGACGTCTGGTGATCCTGACAGAAGCGCTCCGTCTTGACATCCATGTAAGGAGGAGGAAAATCAAGATCCCGATGAGCAGACCAATTAATATCGACAAGCAGAACGCCAGGATGAGCTCCTCTGGATGGAAAGGTTATTGAATTTTGAGTATATAATATCAATATTATATACTAAATACAATCTTAAATACATATTGAATAACTGAGTTCAATGTTTACTTAAATTTACACACACACACACACACACACACACACACACACACCCACACAC